TGTGCGTATATCTGTAGAAATAGGCTGTTTGTTTTGTCAGAAGAGAATAACGATGCAAAAAAGGAACAGAGTAACGAATAAAGTGAGAGTTCTGAAAGTGTTCAAGTGTTTGATTATGATTGTTTTTGGGAGACAGACATATTCTTTTCTTTAGTTATGGGAAATACCTTCATGTTTTTATAATTAGGTTGAAATTGGATTTCTGTTACTTGCAACCAGAATCTTGGATAACACACTTAAGCTATCACTTGGAGAAAATTACACTTAACCTGGAAAGACTGTTCTATTTAGCTGAAGGAGTCTAAATATATTAGAAAAACAGGAGAAATCATAGATATTTCAGATTTTGAAGGGACCTTCCTTCAAGCCAAGGTCTGGAGAGATAAAGTGATTTGGCCAATTACCAACATTAGCTTGCCAAATAGTCTGGTTCTTAATGCTCTTTACTCTTTATTGCATTGCTCAATTTCTTGTTTAATTTCCTTTTGGTCAGCTAGCTCATTCTTTGGTAGTCTGTCTCTGGCCCACTGTCCTGCTGATTCTCATAGACATTTCACATATTCCCTCTCCTTGGCCCTGCATTTAGGTTAAAATTACTTTCTTAGTGTACCACAGACTCAGGCACAAGAGTTCTCTAATTGCTCTCTCTTCTGTACTGGGTGAAAGTCACCTTAATGAGCTTACATGAAGGGAATTTCTAATTTCCTGTAGTTGCATTAGTTTGACCTTAGAACTGTGACCACAGAGAGAAGCAAGACGTCAGAGATATGCTCAATATAATCAGATGTCACTTAAATATTTATAGGAGTTGTGGCATTGCTACTAGAAGGAATTTAAAAACAATTCAGGAATAGAATGAAAGCTTACATAGATTATTTGAATATCAATCAACCTGGGCTAGTGTTGCAAACTCAAATCTGACCACAGAATTAGGTAATATGGCATTGAATCCAAGGGTCTTGGATATCAAGGCAACCTTTACTTGACAGTTACGGTAATCTTCAGTGGTCTAGATTTGACTTAGCATTGGTTTAGAGAGTCTAACCTAGAGAAATGTCTTGAATATTTGCAGTCCACACCCTATGTTATGGGCTGAACCATGTCCTCCCCTCCTCTGCCAAATTTGACTCATAGTTGAAACACTACCCATCCCCAGTACCTGATAGTGTGACTGTACTTTAAGATAGGGCCTTTAAGAGGCAATTAAGTTAAAATGAGGTAGACTCTAATCCAATCTGATTAGTATTTTCATAAGAAAAAGAAATCTGACGCTTTGAGAGATACAAGAAATACCTGCACAAAGGAAAGACCATGTGGGGAGAAGAAAGAAAGAAAGAAAGAAAGAAAGAAAGAAAGAAAGAAAGAAAGAAAGAAAGAAAGAAAGAAAGAAAGAAAGAAAGAAAGAAAGAAAGAAAGAAAGAAAGAAAGAAAGAAAGAAAGAAAGAAAGAAAGAAAGAAAGAAAGAGGGGGGGGGAAGGAGAGAGAGAAAGAGAGAAAGAGAGAAAGAAAGAAAGAAAGAAAGAAAGAAAGAAAGAAAGAAAGAAAGAAAGAAAGAAAGAAAGAAAAGAAAGAGTTGTCATCTGCAAGCCAAAGAGAGAGGCCTCAGAAGAAACCAAACTTGCTGACACCTTGGTCTCAGTCAGATTTTCTGTCTCCAAAACTGTTAGAAAATAAGTTTATATTCTTTAAGCCCCTCCCAGCCTGTGATATTTGGTTATGGTGGCCTTAACAAATGAATATATCTCATAAACCAACTCAAATCTATGTTCAACATTTACTATTAGTAAATGCAGTTCAGAATCTAATGTAAAATTACTTGTGATGATATAATTGATATTTTAGTGTCTTCAACCTTGGGGCTAAATATAAGAAAAATCTTTAAATTTATTAAGTATTTTAAATATTTTAAATACCTATACTTTCAAATATGTAAAATAGTTAAAATATTTTTAAAGCTGGCCTAGAGTATCTAATACATAAGCTTTACTGTTCTAATTTTAAATGTGATATTTCTTTCTTAAATTTTTTTTTTTTTTTATTTAGAGAGAGGGAAAGGGAGGAAGAGAGGACGGAAACAGCAACGTGAGAGAAAGACATAGATTGGTTGCCTTTCATACCTGCCCCAACTGGGAACTGAACCCGTAATGTAGGCATGCACCCTGATCAGGAATTGAACTAGTGACCTTTCAGTTTGTGGGACAATGCCCAACCAACTGAGCTACACCAGGGCTTAAATGTGATATTTCAATAATTAATTTAGATGTGATTTTAAATTGAAATTTTATAAATTTGTACACCATATTGAAACTTTTAAGAGCACAGAGGCATTATATATCATTTAATTATATTTATGAGTTATTTAAAATATATATGAAAGCTTATTCATTAATGGAAAATTTGAAGTCATTAGAAAATTGAATAAATGAAGTTCATAAATAAAATTTTAAATGTTTAAAATAATTTAGTTAAACTATAGCACTCATAAAACTGACTAAAAATTTCATCAAATCTATACCTAGAACAATACAATTTATACATGTATATACTTAAAGTATAAGTAACTAGAGCTTTGAATTTAAAATGTAATAAATCAAATATTTATTATATTTTGAAACAATATCAGACTTGCAGAAAAGTTATAAGGACAGTACAAAGACCACTTTCCCCTGAAATATTTGTAGTTTGCTGACATGATACCCTTTGACCCCCAAATGCTTTAGTGTGATCCAGTCAATGAAGGGCATTTTCTAATACACTCACAACCGAATCAGAACACAAACGTTTTTACGTTACTTTTATCTAATCTTCAGAAACCATTCGATTTTCACCAATTGTCTCCAAATTCCCTTTTGAGGGTAATGATATCACTGAGAATCCTGTTGCATTTGATTATCATGTCTTGGTCCTCAACCTCAGTCTGGGATGGTTTCTCTGTCTCCTGCTCTCATGTTCTTGACAATTTTGAAGACCTTGGGCCAGTTATTCTGTATGATGTCGCTGGATTTGGGTTTACCTGAGTTTACCCTTGTTTAAACTCAGGTGAGGACACTCAGGCAGGAATAGTACAGGAAGGTGCTGATTGCATCTTATTAGTTGGAGAACAAATTTAGTTCACCTCAAAAGTGACCATATTCTCTTTGATCACTTACTGAAAATGGTGTCTTCCAGGCTTTTCCTTTGTCCCCTCCTTTGTTTCCTTTGTTGCAATCAATAAGTATTTTGTGAGGAGATACTATGTAAACAGCCAACTTCCATGTATGCATTTATGTAGATCAGAATGAACTCCTGGCTCCGTCTTTTATGTCCGTTATTACCATTATTTATTCTGATGCCTGACCTGTCCCAGATTTGACCAGTGGGAACCCTTTCAAGCTGGGTTCTAAGTCTTTCTGATAAATCCCCTTTATTTATTTTTTTGAGAACTTCTTTGCTTTCTGGCGCAAAGTAGATATTTCAGGCTCCTATTTTCTCTGCCTCAGCTCTGGAATCATTTTTTTTCCTAAGGCCCCCCGCTTTCTTTTGGTAGAAACAGCATTGAGAAACTGAGATCTGTGTGCTAGGTGCCCTCAGTGATACTGGATGTTGCTCCCCTAGACACTCTCCGTGCACAGAGGGAGGGGCTATATACTCAGATGTATGCACATATTAATATATATCCTGTGTTTGTATATTGAAAAGGAGGAGGCCACCTCAGTATATCTAATTATAATTTAAGATCTCTCTGCTCACCCTGACTGTGACCTGACACCTCTTGCCATCCCCTGTAAATACACTCTTCTCACCCCATTGGAACTCTGAGCTCCCTGCTCTGGGCTCACCCCCATGACACTGAGCAGACCCCCACCTTGTTTGGTCCCATCTAATTGCCTTAATTTTGGATTGTTTAGAAAGGGAAGAGAGAAGAATGGGAAGTGGAAGAACCAACGATTAGTTTTAAATCACAAGCGGACTCTGAATGATACTTATTCTGCACAAAAGCCACCTGCAACATTACATCAGGAAAATGTGTTTTTTTTTCTTTTGCAAAGTCCTCGTCTCTCTGCAATCCTGTGTGTGTGTGTGTGTGTGTGTGTGTGTGTGTGTGTGATTTTCTTCCCTTCTTATTGTTGGTATTAATATAGATATCCTCATTCCCCTACATTCCCCACCTCTACACATACCCCATGCCCCCTTCCTTCTGGACAACACACACCGTTGTCTGTGTCTGTGAGTTATGCATATATGTTCTTTGGCTAATCCCCTCACCCCCTGTCATCCAGTCCCCCTTCCTTCTCCCCCTCAACAGCTGTCAGTCTGTTCTATGTATCCATGCCTCTGTTTTTTATTTGGGTCATCAATTTATTTTAGTCATTAGATTCCACATATAAGTGACATTATATGGTATTTTCAATCTTCTGCTTTCTTTTAGATTTCTTTTCCTCAGTTTCCTTGTCCTATGGTCCACATCATCCAGGCACTAAACATACCTAACACTGTCATTCATTTTACACATCATCTCATGGCACATTTCAGATTTTATTCACTCACTTACTGTTACTGAAGATTGTATATTTGTATTTCTCTATGACTGTCCTAGTGTGTGGCTCTTGTCAACATTCAGTGATTTTATGGCACATGGCATAAGGTTTCATCCCCTAAATTTGGCAATAGTACGGTCTGAAACATTTTTATTTTTGAAAATCTGGGCTATAAAATGTGTCACTAATTACTATATACTTGAAGTAGCAAAAAGATATTCTTCTATGAAGTGTTGGAATCAGCCTTAGTGCTCAAGAAAAAAAAATTAGGAAAAAACTCAAATTGTATTAAAAGGCCATCTGTAAAGTAATTAAGAAAACAGTCAAGGTTATAGTTTCCTTTCTAATTTCTTTAACTTTTAATTTTTCATATTTGCCCACCAGCTATAGGACTCGTTTATTATTCTAATTTGTTTCTGGTTACAGGTTTCATTTAAATTTAGCATACAGTTGGGGAACCGTGTGACATGTTGGTAGTTAAGTCTATCCTCTGAAAATGTGGTCAAAAATGACAGCTTGGGTGTACAATTCTGTGTCGATGGGGGTTCTAGTAGAATCGTCACCTGGCGGAGCCTGAAACACATAAATCATGTTAGTCAGTCCAGTCCATGCAAATAATTGGCATTAAATACATTTTTCTTTTGCTTCAGTACTGTAGCAAGCAGGCCTAAAAAGGCTGTGGCCATGGTGACTTTTCCATGTTTTCCTCCAGATTCATTTTCTGAGAAGCGGTGATCATTTCAATAAGGAGATCTGAGGCCCCAGTGACATTACTGAAATTATCTAGGATCAAAGGAATGTCCCAGGCTCCTACTCATCCTGACTCTGCTGGACCACATCTGTCACTCACTCTGAGGAGTTCCCGGTGACCAGCTTTGCAAACACATGTGATCACGGGTTAATAAATGAAAACAAATTTATTTTAGTTGCAAGTAATAAAAAATGTCTCAAGTTTGGAATGGGTTCAGACTTATGAAAGTAACCTGTCCATCATAGGTTTCACAAAAAGTTTCTTATCACTTTAAAAACTATTGATGTGCTTTTTCCCCCCTTTAAAGTATGACCTTTAAAAAATATTTGTTCCTTTTACCTTTATTCATGATAGTCTATGATACTTACAGCCTTCTAGGGAGCTCATGTGGGAACAAATATTCAATGATGTGGTTTGAGAGAAGAGAGAGAGAGAATTTTGTTAGATGTTAATCTACAACTGGAAAATTATTATTCATTGGGCCTTTACTGTATGTGATGTATAAAAGAACAATGTTATTTTCTCTTCTTCTTGGTAGGAAGAGATGAAAAAAATTAGATCTGGGACAAGAGAAAAGCTTTAGTATTGCCTTTTGTGCATAATACTGATTTTTTGTGCTAACTGCGAAAAACTATATTAGGTCTATCTTTTATTAAGTGTCAGTAAAATTGTAAAGACTTTGAAATGGGTTAAACAAAAAGATTTGGGTGTCCTGAGTGGCTCACCCATCCAAGTATTTTTTTCCTTTCATTGTTTTTGTGCTGTTTCAGAACTTTTTAAGTTGTAGAAAACTTGTAATAAGGCAAAAATATCCTTGTCTACAAAGAAGCAAATTAATTGTGCCTACAGGAATGCAATTAACTATTGCCCTGTATTGGGACCTGCTTTTATATCTACTTCTAAGTAATTTCAATTTTTTCCTATTCCTCATACATGTTATGCTCTTTGAATTCTCCTTTGAAACGTTTGTGATATCTTACTGGTTCCCTTTGTAGTTAATAAATTATATAAAATCTTTAGCAGATTCATTTTATATCTATATGAGAGTTACAAATATACCTTGTAAAGAACAATTATTTTGTAGACATTTTTGAAGCTCTACTGTGTTGCCCACTGGATTTCCCTGATAGTGAGCATCCTCCATGGCTGTAGGAGGTTTGAACCTCGTGGAGAATGACTTAAACCCAGGCATTCCCTTTCTTGGCTCAGGGAGGTAAATTCCGAGGAGCAACAGAACTTCCACTTTACTGATCCTCTGTTTCTTTACATATTTTCCACTTTTACTATTTTTGTGTATTGTTTTTGCCACTTTCACAATCAATAAACTTTTCCCCAATGGCCATAGCGATGATTGGAATTGGTGTTATGTCTAACCATTGTGATCTTTGTAAATGAATTAATAGATTATAGAAATGTATTTTTCTTGGGTGAGAGACAACCAAGAACATATAATTTGTTAGTATTATATATAATATATAATTTGTTAATATATTTTGTTAGTATTTTCTATTCTTTCTGTGTGTGTCTACTTGTCTAGGTGAGCTCAAATTAAGAATCTCATGCTCAATAGGAAAGAGAACAACTGTTGGTCAAATGGAGTGTTTATATTTTGGGTTTACTTTTGACCTGTGGGTAATGTTTGCACCTGAAGTTATAAGCTGTCTGCATGATTCTCTGTGTGTATGTACTGTTTTTGAGGTCTTTTGTTTTATTGCTTCTATGAACCCCTACATAACCTTGGTACTTACCAAGGACCCATAGAACTTTTACATGTGGCACAGCTATCAATATGATAGCTGAAAGTTTTCCACATTTTATATAGCAAGTACTTCAAGGTCAAATGACCTACTAAAAGCCTACAGGAAAGTGTGCGGAGGGCAACAATTGCAGAAGAAGAAACACAATGTACTAACATGCATATAAAAGAAATGTTCATCTTTAATAATATTAAAAATGTAAATTAAAATGAATCCAAATAAATTTGTACTTTAAAATGAACAACATTCAAACATGTGCAAAATAAGTAGAATATGGTAAATGGGCAGCCTTATTTCAGGTACATGTAGTTATAAATTCATATGGTTTAACTGCAGAGTAATTTGACAGTGTCTTTCTAAAACTTTACAAGGTTTATATCTTCTTCCTAAGCACCCTACATTTAAAAAGTCACCTTAAAGAAAAAATCATTGAACTCAGTTGTAAAGAATTGTTATTTAAACCTGGGGAGAAAAACAGAAGCCAACCTAAGTGGAAAATTCTTATATAAATTATGATTACCTCATAGGATAGAATTTTATTTACATTATTATACAGCCATTTTTTTACTTAATAGCATAGCCTGAACACCTATTCATACTACTACATCAACTTCAGTAAATATAGCTTAAGCTGATTTTGAAAACTGCTGCATAGTATTTCATCATGTGGATATATCATAACTTATTTTATCATTGTTCACTATGGACATGCAGATGATTTCCAGCTTTTAACTATCACAGTGAAAAAATTATGTACTTTTAAAACTCTGTTTCTAACTTGACATTCCATCAGGAACCGATATTCATTCAGGGAATACCTACTCAGTGGCACATTAAACAAATTCTCTTATTTAATCTTCACAGCAACCTTTCATAAAATGTTTGTTTTTACAGATTTTACAGATGAGAAAACAGAGGTAGTGAAGTGTTCAGAGGGGTTAAGTAATTTTTCTTAGTCACAAAACTCCTAAGATCTATTTAATTCCAACTCCTTGTACCCATTACCGCTCGTACACAGCTTTTCCCTGGCTGAGTCCTGGTGGCTATTTGGACCATCTGCTACTGTCCTGTTGCTCATCCAGCTCCTTTCAACTGCTCCCAAGTACATATTTTGGTGCATCCTTAGGTCTTTGATTCTCCAGTGGATTCATTAAGAGACTTAAGCAGATCTTTGAATAACCCCAAACATTATTATACTCTGTGTATATGGCCATGTGTGCTCTTTTTTGATAAAATCCATGAAATATCAGATTTTGAAATAAACTCTATTTCCCAAGAGGTTAAGATCCTATCCTCTGGAGCAGCCTCCTGTGCTTGTGAGGGTAGTTTTCCTGGCTCCCAGGTTGGGGCTGCTGTGGTTTTTTGTTTGTTTGTTTTATTGTGTTTTTCACTCTTGCTTCATCTATTTGAGGCAATATGTATTGCTGAGGCAACCAAGGTTTACACCAAAGATGTTGAAGCGACAACCACTTAGCCATTGTCAACATGAGATTTTCCTCTCTTGCCAATGGACTTGGTCACTGTTATGCTATTATGTTCCAGTGTGCTTCAACATCCCTCACCTTGTCTTGGGACTTTAATGTCTCAGAAATTATAAGCATCTGCTGGGGTAGTAAATTGCTATGAAGGAATCACGAGAGTGGACTACTTGTTCAACCATCAAGGCCCGAGAGAAATGCTGTCTACAAATTAGAAATAGTCCCTTACCCATCGTCTTGCACGTGCAGTGACTACATACCTGACTCGGGTTTTTTGATGCCTGCTTCTTCTCCACTAGTTATTAGATCTTTGAAATCATGGCGGAAACAATTTTTTTAATCTTCAATTTTTTAATTTAGAATTAAATATATTGGGGTAATGATGTGAATAACATTATACAAGTTTCAGGTGTACAACTTTATAATACAACATCTGTATACACCATTGTTCTTATCCAATCATTTCACCCAGGAAGGAAAATAGCCTTCTCTTGTCTCCATACTCCTTGTCCTGATTTGTGATGAAAAATTGTGTGAAAAAGTGAGCTTGGATTGGGGCTAACCTCTTTTCCACAAATTCTTACACTCTCATTCCCTTAGGCTGTATTGGTCCCTTTGATTAGGTTGTCCTTCTTATTGGAACAATTAAAACAGTAATTTTTCTTGGTCGTGAATGTATTATTGAGATATGTACTTTTTTCCTGCAGATATTTAACTTGGATGGTGAAGGATTATTATTTATACTCTTTATTACTAAACATTGTTATGCATATAATAATTTAAAAAAATAGGTATTTAATATTTTCTCTCCAGTGGCTCACCTTCCTTTTGTTGCAGTTCATATATGAGTTCATACACTGGATATTTAACAACAACATACTTATCTCTAGGGATTGTTCCATACTACTGCATATAAAATTAAAATCAGTCCGGCCGGTTAGCTCAGTTGGTTAGAGCGTGGTGCTGATAAAATTAAAATCAGTTTTCCAGGTCAAGATGAGGGCATAGCATTTAAGTTTTAGGAGTTTTAATTAATAAAAGCCAAGCTCTGTTATGTAATTTTTGATGTATACCTCAAGGCCATTGATTTTAGCAGCACTTTGTTGAGTAAATACTTAATCTATGTGTGGTGGACTTTCAATGCAGGTATACCAGGTGATTGCCCAGGGGAGAAAATGTTTAAAAGTTTCTTAGTATGTGGGAGTTTTAGGGCTATAATCAACCAAACATTCAGTAATTTGGGCAGCAAAACCAGAAAGTTGGCAAGGCCTCAGCTTTACTTAATAACTGTGACTATGCCACAGTTAAAGAGCAACATTTACAAGGGCCTCGGAGGAAAATCCAGGAGCCAAAAAAGTGGTGTTGGTGATTCATTAAGTGTCCCTTTCCCCACTACTTCAAGTTTTCATGGCATTCGAGGGGACACTGTTAGAGACTTCGAAGAAACCATAGCTTTGTTTAAACTTACTCTACTCAATGTGAGTTGTTTGTTTTTAATGTCCAATAGGAAATATACCTAAGCCCTGCACAAAGACATTGTAAAACTGAGGGCCTTCATTGGGAGGGTGGAGCTTTAAGAGATTAAAT